ATCACTTATGGAATACTCGTATAATCATCAAAGAGCTTCTGGTGCAGAAACAAAGTGACAGTCTAAAAATGTGTTTATTTTATCACGGTCAATACTTTCAATAATTAACACATAAGCACAATTTATGAGCATGTAAAAGTGTTTGTATAAATACTTAACTGACTTAATAGACATGCAAATTTCAACATTTATGTATGCTTAGTGTTTTTTAGATAACCATTGATTATAGGGTACTAAAATGTATTTAGAACATCAACAGTACGCAAATCCTCAGGTAAAATGAAACCCTTTTCATGCAAAAGTAATTAACTAAGAAAAATACTTTACCAGATAGATTGACTTTATACATTTGAACAATCACCTAACTGCTATCTCTTTGTCTTTTTACTTGCAATTTTTAGCATCAAAAATTAAATGATACAGAATTTCAACATAAGAATAGTGGCGTGCTTCATTACTTTCAGCATTTATTTTAAAGCAAGCAGTTATGTGACACTGTACTGCATAGTGCACTCTATAGCTACTTGTTTTTATCCTTCATTAAAGTATACCCTTTGATTATCAGGATGGTGGACTTGGAGATGGATAATAGTCTGTGACATCACTTATGGAATACTTGTATAATCATCAAAGAGCTTCTGGTGCAGAAACAAAGTGACAAATTTGTTTTTGCAATTGATAGGTACAACCTATCGATTTTGAATTTGATAACTTTTTCCAAAATTCCACTTGGTCCATGAGTCATATGTGTTTTAATAATTTAAAAAAAAACAGGATCAACAGTTGGATCAGCTTATGTTTAACTATCAATATCCTCTGTTGTTTCAAGCTTATTATTTAAAAAGTCCAATATAATACGTTCATGCAGCAGGTTTTTTAAACTCAACAACTTGCACATGATAAATTTGCTTAAGACTTCGTGTTTAAAAATCTCATCTAAGAAGCAATTAAGTTTTATCAATACACAAAAAACTAAATCAAATCTAAGTTTTCTGTAATTTCTCATCATTTTGGATTGCAGATAAAGTTAATAAAAAGATCCAGTTTTCCTGATCTTTTTCTTTTCAAATTTCTTTATATTTATCATTGCATCTTCAAAATTTTCTTTTAGAGCTCTTGGACTACTATCATATGAAGATGCAGTATAACAACACGACCTAGTTTTAAATTAAGGTTATTTGCACAGTTGTTTACTTGTTCATATAGTGAACATGTAAACAACTGGTACATATTTTATATTGTTCACTTCAACAACTGATCATATACTATATTGTTCACTTCTAAGTTTAATTTAGTTAATTCTGATAAAAGTAAGGTACTGTTTTTCAATCATGACATATGCATCAACAGCTTTTTGTTGAAAAAAACTTCTTTCCATAAAAAATAAGACAGATATAGTTGTAATATTAGAAAAAATAATATGGTTTCTAACACGTGTTGCACAGTTAGGATTGTGCTCTAGTTGATCATGTCATCCTGCATCACCTCTTGAATAAAGTGTTGGATAAATCATTGGATCTAGATTTGCAGACATACTTGAAATTGTTTTTAATATAACATCTTGAGGGATAGGGAGCCAACAACTTCCCCGTATTGAGGTATAAAATACAAATACAATAGCAATTTTCTCATGTGAAGGAAAATTGTATCAATGTCTGATACAATTGTATCACGACCTTCCGGTAATGACATTTTGACAACAGAAATTGGTCAACCTTTTAAAGAGGCTTGATGAATGATGCTCCGTTTGAAAGTTTAATGTAGTATTAGGGTAAACATATAAATGACAATATGCAGGTAGAACATCTTGATCAGGTCTCAGGTCTCACTTATTCTGGCTGTGAATGAAACAAAAGATAGACAGACATCATTTTGAATATGCTGGAAGAAATTTTGATTCAAAGCACAATCAGCATGGTTGCCTGTCATTAAAACAAGTATTAGCAGTGGATAAGGTGAAAGTGGGTCTTACACCTTTTTTTGAATGTAAACACAAAAAATGTGTTTTATTCAAAAACATTTTAGCACCACGATACTAATAAATATGGTTCATTTCTCCAAGGTAATTACTCTCTGTAAAAATATATATATATTTTTTCCATGTGTAAGTAATATTTGCCTCATTTCTTTCATTTCGACAATGATTAATTTTTTCTCTTCTGACCTCATTTCTTTCATTTTGGCAACAACTAATTTCTTCTTTTCTAAAAACATTTTTTTCATTCTGAGGATTTTTTATTTTTAATGTTTAATCACCTCCTCAAGACCGAGAAGGCAACTACAAACAAGTTGGCTACTTAGTTGTGGTTATAAATCTCAACTCTATAACTCTGAAACGCGAACCTTCACAAACAAGGCCACTGCGCAGAGAAACAAGTTGAGCACACTACTACCAGGGGTATGGTGGGGATCAGACTTGAAACCTCTCGCTTATGGAGAGAGTACTCTACCACTACACCACTACCACATTTTATATTCAGCTGTTAAGTTATTTTACATTATTAAGCAATTATGTTAAGTTTGATAAAACATTTTTTGTTTAATTTATCTCAATACTAATTTAAAATGAACAAACATAAGCACAATTTATAGATCTAAACATATCTATTTATATCTATAATAACAACTTGTGAACTAAAGTCTAAATTAAACTGGTTTAAAACAGAGAAAAACCTATAAGCTAAGTTTATATTACTAAGAAGTTTTATGATTCAAAGAGTTATATCGTAACTAGTAAAATCAATTTAAAAAAATTAAATAAAATTTAATTAAAAAAAAGATTCAAAAATCATTTTATGCTGTTAATAAGTAAATATATACCTTTAAAAGTAAAATTTTTCACAAATGATATGCTAACTATTGCTAATAAATTTTTGTCAATTATGTTACACCATATTGATCATATGTTGCTGATATCTTTAATGATTTTTTCATAATAAAAATCTGAAGAGAATAATATAGACAGTGTAGAGTGCATTTATAAAATATGCAAATAGAAAAATTTTAGATGAAGAAAGATTGAAAGATTTACTATCAAGATCTCTTTCAAAAAGAATATAAAACTCAACTAATATTAAATTTAAGAAAATTAAAAAAAACAAATACTTATCAACAATAAACATATAAAACATGTGAACAATTGTGAACAATAAACATATAAAACATGTGACTAATAAGAAAAGATGTGAACATAGTTAGTAAGAATATTTTTATACTTTAAAAAACTTTAAAAAAATATTCACTTTTTTTTTCAAATGTTTCCTTGGTCACTTGGAGCTTTGAAATACCAGGATTTTACTGTATATATTTTTTACGCTATTTACCTCCCCAAGGTTGAGGAGGCCACAAGACTACTTTATTATTATTATTTATTTTTTTGGTATATATTTCCAATAATTCATCAATGCCTAGTAGTATCATCCAATTACTTACTAGAAAACTTTTACTCACAGTAACAACTATGGAACTTGTAATTGAAGACACTAAAACTTTCTCCTATCTGAACAATGTCCTATTGTCACAAGTCCCAATGCAATTCCTGAAATTTAATATGTCATACCTGTAAAAAAAAGGACACTGTCTGTTTAAGTAACAAATTAAATCAAAAAAACAGCATAAAACCAAAATACCCAAATAAAACACCTGTAAAGGGTGATACAAGACATTTCAAGTGTAGTAACATTGTTCAAGAGAATGTCCCAAGTACATCCACAATTTTATCATCTATAAATCAATAATCAGGCCTTATAAATACAATAGTTAATGGAATACCAGTGTCAGTCCTTATTTTTCTGCTAAATTAGAAAAAAATAATAATAATCGCAAAAATATTTATTTAAAAAAAAAACTAATTGCAAAGGTGTGAAATGCAATTGCGATTTGCAATCGCAATACGCTCAATTCAAGCCCTGAAAATTGTCAAAGAAAATAGGCATCAACAATGCAACAATCAACAATGAAAAGCTGGTGTTAAAAAGTTGAAGAGTTTAATGTTGCCTTCATAATCTTGGTTATAGTTCAAACTGACAAAAAAAACACAGACTCTTACCTATCATTAACTTCTTTAAAGTTTAATAATAACATTAATTTAACACAAATATCAAAAAATTCATTAGTCTTACAGGTAATTCATCAGCGAACATCATTGGCCAATATGAGTTAAAATTACTTTTACAAAATAATAATGATGTAATAATACAAAAGCACTCTTAATAAATTTTTTCTCTAACGCTATAAACATAAACACTTCTATGGAAACTTATCTTTGTCCTAGAATCGACAGATTTTGAAAGTTAGGCTAGATCCAGGCCTTACAACAATACCCGATTCTGACTAACATTAAACAGTTAAACAACTTGACAGGTTTATTTGCATATTAAACTAAATGGATTTCTAGACTAAACTGTACCAGTTGAACTATTTTACAGACTAATTCTAACGACTCAATGAAAATTTCTTTCATATGAAGCTATTTTGGCAAATTCAACTACTGCTAACTACTAACTTTCTGCTACCATATTGTACTAGATATGATTCTTTTCTCTTTTTTCTCTTAGGTGTAATTCTTTTATTTTCTCTTAAGTATGATTCCTCTCTTTCTCTTCTCTTAGGTATGACTGTTTTCTCCTTTCTTCTTTTAGGTATGATTGTTTTCTTTTTTTCTTCTCTTAGGTATTATTCTTCTCTCTCTACAAATACTTATAGAACTTATTTTGCCTCTTGTTTTCTTTTGACAATCGCTTTTTTGTACTTGTTTTCTTTTGACAATCGTTTTTTTGTACTTGTTTTCTTTTGACAATCGTTTTTTTTTTGTACTTGTTTTCTTTTGACAATCGTTTTTTTGTACTTGTTTTCTTTTGACAATCGTTTTTTTGTACTTGTAATAAACTGAACTTCTTATCAACTGAACTGTTATAACAATTGTTATATAAGTTGAATAATTATGTCGAACTGCACCATCTGTTAAATTAAAAAGAAATTATAATAATAATCTTTTTTAGATATTTTAATATCAACTCCAAATCGATTAGTTCATTTGCTTAAACAAGACTTTGCTCCTGATTTAGGAATGTAAGTATACATTATTAAAAAATATTGACTAAAATAAAATAGTTATATAGAAGTTAAAAATTTCAATGTTTTAATTCTGTTATTAAGATAAAGTTTTATAAAATATTTAAAATTATTATTAAATTAATATTATTAAATATATTTTTAATTATATATGCAAATTATATTTATAATTAAATATTTAATTTAATTAGAAATGTACTTTTATATTTAAATGTTTGTCTTTATTTTCTGATATAAATTTTAGGATTAGTGTTACTGTAGCCCTTAGAAAGATAGTGTTACTGTAGCCCTTAGAAAGATAGTGTTACTGTAGCCCTTAGAAAGATAGTGTTACTGTAGCCCTTAGAAAGATAGTGTTACTGTAGCCCTTAGTAAGATAGAGTTATTGTAGCCTTAGAAAGATAGTGTTACTCTAGCCCTTAGAGAATTCAGAGTCATAAAAATAGTTGAATAAATGAGCAAAAAACATTTAATGGTATTTTTCTTAAAAAGTTCAACAACTTTTAAAGAAACATGAATACCAATACCTTTTAAATAATGTTTTGCATGATTTTTGAGAAAGTACACTTATTGACTTATAACTTCAAAACTAAGATCAAAGTTGTGACTGTGATGTGTTGAAACATTTCATATTCTTTAATTAATTTAAAACAGATTTAAAATCATTAAGAATTGTAATATTGGCTTGTTGGGTTTTGATATACTTTGTGCAAGGTTTTTCTGCAAATTGTTTTAAAAAGTTAAACCAGTTTTATGAGTGAGTATTGAAGTTTCATTCTAAGTTAATAATAAATGTTGATGATATTTCTCTTAAAGTTAATAACTTTGTTTGGTGTTTCATTGAGTAAAAATCAGCAATTGCAATAAGATAACTGAATGTTAACATTGAAACCGAAATCATTTAAAGGAACTGAAACAGAGTACTTTACCGAATGGCTAGCTAGTTTTAGCAGAATAGCACAGCACAAAAAACTTGGTTTAATAAAAGTTATTAATTTTTGAATGAATTAAGTTTTTTGAATGAAGTGACCTTGCTATGCCTGTGTTATGAATGAATTAACGACCTTGCTATGCTATAATGTGTTTTGTTTTTTTAAATTTTAATTACTAAAATTTGTTTGCAAAAAGTTTATATAGTACGTTTAACTTATGTTATATGGGTCGACCAAAGACATCTTGTAGAAGCCACAACAAAAATTCGTCCACTTACAGATTTTTACACAGTAAAAATAACAATGCAAATTCTGGACAAAAGTCAATTTTTGAAGCAATTACTGTTAAACAAACTACAAAACAAGATACAGAACAAGTTCAAGAAGAAGTAGATCAGCAGTTAATTCCTGAAATAAGAACAAACAAAAGCGAAACTATTATCGGGCGTGAATCAAACGAAAGCGCTATCCCTAATATCAACAAACATTTACTAGATGGATGTATATACATGATGTGTCACCAATCTCAGCAAAAATGGGAAACAATATTTCCATTTGCTATTTATTCTGCAAAAGATCAAGGTTGGTTGTATAGTATTTGTAAAGAATATGGGGATATTGGAGAAGTGTGGAGAACTAAAGGCGCGTAGCTTTTTGAACACCCACAAAGGACATTTACTGCACATTAAAATACTTTCAACCAAAGGAACTGTATACAATCAGATGGTTGATGGCAGCTTGCTATACAGAATTGCGGGTAAACAGCGCAACCGTAACGTCATAAAAAAGTTTTTTAAAACTGTTTACTTTGTGATTAAAAAGAACTGGGCAGTTTGGGAAAACTTTAGTGATATCGTTGAATTTATTTGAGATCTTGGCGATAAGGAGATAGATTCACACTTTAAAAAATTGCTAGCAAGCGAGCGATATACACATCATCAACTAATGTTGATCAGTTCGTCAAAATAATAAGTGATAAATTAGATAATGAGGTTTGCACAAAAGTTATTTTGGCCCATGACTTTAGTGTTCTTGCTAATGAGACGAGTGACGTGGCAGATAGGACTGTTTTTTTTTTGTTTTCATTAGATATGTTGATTCTGATTCTCATACTATTAAAGAAATATTTCTTGGTTTAGTCTAAGTTATTGGAAGAAAGGATGCGCAAACAATACAACTAGTTTTGTGTAAAAACTAGTTTGTATTTGTATTTAAAAACTAGTTGTATTTGTGAACAAATACAACTAGTTTTTAAATCTAAATCGATAGATATCCAGCAACTGTGCTTCCATGGCTTTGATGGAACTAATTGATGGTGCATAATGGTTTACAAGCTAAGCTAAAAAAAATTTCTTACCACTCAATGTACATTAGGGTGTGTCGATTTTCACTTTTTTTGGAAATTTGATTATGGCTTTTTTTAATGTAAATCAGTATGAAAAGAATGAAAATAATTTTTTTTCTAAAAAAATTATTTTAAGCTACTTTTTTTTACCTTGAAACTTTTTTTTACCTTGAAACTTTTTTTTTGAAAACTGAAATTTTCCATAATATCCGAAGAAGAACGCAGTTATTCACTAAATCATCTAAAAAACAAAACTTTAGACCGTATGCAAAAGAGCAATTTTCAAAATTTAGTTTAACAGACAACACACTAACGAAAATTAAATTCTAAACATTCACTCTCCGTTTTGCAAAAGTTGTTTATTTTGTTATATTTTTAAAAAGATTCTCAGTTCTCAGTTTTAACTAATTAAACTAAAGATGTTCAAAACCAGAAGTTAACAAAGAGTTAAATATAAAGTAAAAGATATGGTTATTAGCTGTTAGTAATTAGTAATGCATAAGTTGGTTATGGTTATTAAATGCAAATATGGTTATTAGCTGTTAGTAATTAGTAATGCATAAGTTGGTTATGGTTATTAAATGCAAATATGGTTATTAGCTGTTAGTAAATAGTAATGCATTAGTTAATAATGGTAATGCAGCTATATCAATTACAGAAAGATTTATGGAAAGATTTGATAAACTTTTTGATTTGTTTACTTGCAATTGTAAAATTATGTTTTGCATAGAGATTAATTGTAAAGAAAATTGTGACAGAAAAGCGCACATTGAATGTGCTTGTAAAAAAGATCAAAAAATTCCTCTCCTTGAATTAAATTTTGTTAGATATCAAAGAGAAAAAATCGAAACCAAAGCTTTGCTTCAAGTGGCACATCATTCCACACCAGCACGGGGCAGTAGCTCTTTTGGCTAAGAGTGATGGCTTGTGGCCTACGGTGACTAATGTGTGCATTCGATCAATTGAAATCCATTCTGTAGGTCTCACGTCTGGCTCTGATGTGCTAGCCCATAAGCGCAAGGAGTGAGTGTGTTTAGCTTTCTATTCACCCGATTTGAAAGTGAACGAAGACATAACGACCAAACGGCACATACTAATGCACTACACCATCACACCTGTAGACATGAATGGCCTCTAAAACCAGTATATCAAATATTTGTTCTTTATTATATACTTTTGTTCATAATCTTATTTTACCCTATCCTTGTATATTTATTCAGATTTGTGTTATGTGTGAATGAGGCCGTATATTTGTGAGAAGTATAACAGCGCGAAAATTTTACACAAAAGTACGTATTAGCGTATTTTTTATAACAAATGTATTCTTGGTTGGAATATACTGAACAATTTCATTAGATAAGTTTAGACTAATCACGATTTCGTTAGGTTTTTTTGTTTCTATCTAATTTTCTCGATTTGACGTCGCTAAGTTAGTTTGTTGTGGTTTGCACTATACAGTCTTCACTAACGTTCCTTTGGTCGTTTTGTCAACAATATTGTTTTTTAACGTTACATTTTTTAGTGGTTATAAGCTATTAGTTTAAAATCGCATATATTGGCTTATCTTTTTATTTCCTCATTATTTTCTGCCTACTGATTTGATGTTCGTATATTTTTTTATCTCTGGCTAATCGTTATTTAATTACTCTGAGTCTGTATTGTGTGATAGCTATTGTCTCTACTTACCAGGCAAGATTTATATTAGAACATACTATTTAGAGTTATATATTTTTTTATCATACTTTCGTTTAACTACTTTCGTACTAACCACAAAACATCCTAACTTAGTATCAATGCTTATGAGTGGTATTTACTTATTATATTTATAATACATATTTCAGCCATAAAAGAAACGGTAAGTTACTATTAATTATTAATTACTATTTTCTATTCGCTTTTTGTTATTTCTACACATTATAATTGTTTATTTACACACGCGCATACGTACATGTGTACAAGTTTGTTTCTTCTAATGTTAGGGTACCTTATATTTATATGTGTTTACATATCTATTTATGGTCACACCACGCGCACTCCTCACCACCCTCACGAGATCTCTAAGAATGTTGGAGCTGTTTTCAAAAACTGGGATAGGGATTGGTTTTTTGGCTTTTGTAGTGTAGTCCTATTATATTGCAATATTGACTAGCATGACGTAGAGTGCAGGCGGTGAGATCTGTTGCAAGGACACGCCCCTGACGAGTGGCGTTAGTGCAGGTCTCGGGCTCTCCGAAACGTCATTGGTGATCGCAGTGCATTCCTGAGGAGGGGGATCACCATTTATCCACTACTTAATTCTTAATTAAAACTAAGAAGTAAAACAAAAGTTTGTAAATAGAAAATCACGCATCACAAATAAAAAAATTAAAAAAAGACTAGGAAATTTTAAATGAAGAAAATAAAGCTAAGATCTTCTTACCCAAAAGTGACTCAAACGAAGTCTCTGGTATTTCAAATAATGAAGTACAAATGAATATTTCAGAAAAAAGAAAAGTAAAAGAATATAACACCATGAATATAAGTAATGTAGCATTAGCAAGCTTAAGGGTTATACAGGGTTAAAATAAACTGCAGAAATAGCAACTGCTGCCCTTATCGATGGTAAACTTATCACAGAAGGTAATACTAACTATATTATTGATCATAACAAAGTTAGACGAGCACACGAAAAAAATTGAAAAGAGTTGACTTCAAAACTCCAAAGTGAACTAAACAATAATGGTTTGAGTTGCATTCCTTTTGACAGTAGAAAAGATGACACTATAATCTTTTTTGATGTGGAAGGTAGGAAATTCCCAGGGCTAGTAAAAGAAGAACATTATACTGTGTGCAGTGAACCTAGTGGAAATTATTTATTTCACTTTGTTCTTGAAGAATCGGATGTAAAAAAACCTGCAGAGATAATTGCAGCTCATTTAATTGAATGGCTTGAAGAAAGATCTTTGCATAGCAGATGGCTAACTACTGCTTTAAGACTTTGCAGAATATGGTTGTCTAATCATGGATTAACAGGTGAGCTTTTAAATAAGTTAAGAATGATAGTTGAGTATATTGTTGGTGTGTATGTTCCTAACTGGTTCAACAATAAAGTAAAGTCAAGCTGGGTGGAGGCACCACTCAACTTAGTTAAAAAAATGCAAATTACTAAAAAATCAAACTCAGTAGGTAATTGACATTGTTTTGCCCACTTTCAAAAGATCAGCATGGTATGCTCATTCTGAATCAGTGTTGCAAAGTATGCTCTGCAGTCAAGTTGAAGATGAAAGGAGAGAAGCTGTTAATAAAATAGTTAAATTAAGAGGTGCTGGAAATGATGCACTTCAATTCGGAGATCTTTTAGGAATAGAAAGACTCCCAATATCACCATGGAAGCAACCTGTTTGTCTAAACTTATAGACTGGAGTGACATCACAGAACCACCTCTAACATGTAATTTATCAACTAAAGCAGTTAAAGAATTTATTAACACTCCAATGAAAGTAACTAAGTGGCCTTCTCATACACAATCTGTTGAAAGATGTGTAAAAATGACTTCTGAAAGTGCTTATTTATTTGTCTCACGTCTTTGGTTAGGTTTGAAGAGACACATACATTCAAGGTCAGATAGCTAATAGAGAGCTTATGTCCAGTAATTCTAGTAAAAAAGACATGAAAAGTCTAATACAAAAAAAAATAGTTGGGAGTATTAATGTATTCACATTTGTAAGAATGTTATTTACTTGTTTTTTTATGAAATGATTATATATATACAGAGTGCTCAAAAATTTTGTTGTTTTATTTTTACGCCAAACTATTAATCTTTTCTAACTATTAATCTTTTAAGCTAATGAGCTTGTTTATATATATATATATATATATATATATATATATATATATATATATATATATATATATATATATATATATATATATATATATATATATATATATATATATATATATATATGTATATATATATATATATATATATATATATATATATATATATATATATATATATATATATATATATATAATATATGGATATAACTATATATATATATATATATAATATATGGATATAACTATATATATATATATATATATATATATATATATATATATATATATATATATATATATATATATATATATATATATATATATATATATATATATATGTATATATATAGTTATATCCAGTTATATATTATATCCAGTTAAGTTAAGGAGCTTGTTTATTTATATATGCTAGTACATATGTGTTTGTTTATGTGTGTGTTTGTATATATATATATATATATATATATATATATATATATATATATATATATATATATATATATATATATATATATATATATATATATATATATATATATATATATCCTTAAACAGTTGAAAATACAGATAGGTATTTTGAATTCAATAACTCAACAATATTATTACTCCTGGTAAATATTTAATCAAATAAAACAAACAAAACAAAAGATTTTTGAGAAAAAGGAAAGTTTGATTTTTTAAATTATCGAGTTGTCCGTTAAACTAAATTTTAAAATATTCTTTTTTTGCATACGACAACAAAAAAAAAAGTTTCAGGGTAAAAAAAAGTAGCTTAAAGTTTATTTTTTTCAAAAAAAAAAATTATCAAAATTAAAAATTTAAATTTTATCGAGACTTGGGTGATAGTCGAATTGACTTATGAAATGTCAATCCTTTCTAATATCTCTTAAGTAAATTTTGTTAGTTTATTTATAAGAAATATATTAATGTATAAATCTATTGTTTATTAAATGTTGTAATAATAAAGCTTTTCTCGCGGAGAGCAGTAAGGAAATAAATTGGATCTCATTCTTTACATTAGTATGCAAATAAAAGGCATAAAGGAAAATAAGCGGCGAATTGATGTTGACGTTTAAATGAATTTTAAGATTAAAAAAAAAAAGTCCTCTAAATACAGACAGACGGGTATGCCCAAAAAACCTCTGGATACGTCACTGCTTGCATAGGTTTGGTAGTTTCCAGTTCTTTAATACTCAAACTTTTCCTTAATCTAAGTTTTCTAACCAGATTTCCATGTGTTTTTTTATAAATAGCGTTCATGAAGAAAATATTAAACAAGTGAAAACATTTTCTTAAATTAGAAAATTCTAAGAAAACTGCTTAGATTAAAAAAGATAAAAAATATCCTTTTAAAAATAAAAAACATTCTTTATGCCTTTTTAAAAAATAGCATAGAATGAAATAATCACCTCACCTAACCTAAAGACCAAGCTGAGCTGTTTGCTAAGAACTTTTTGTCAATATCATCTCTAGATTCCTCTAGTTGCGTTCTACTTGATAAAGCCGACAAACAAGTTGATCCATTGCTTGACATTCTTATCACTTCAGCTTCTGTATCTAAAGTGATTTCCTCCTTAGACTCTTCTAAAGCTTGTGATCTTGACAACTTACCTGTTGTACTCTTGCAGAAGTATTCTCCCAAGTTGTCGTCTCTACTTTCAAAACTATTCAACAAGTGCTTATCAGAGTCTTGTTTTCTGGAATGCTGGAAAGTGGTATCTGTTATCCCTATTTTCAAAAATTCTGGAGAGCGATCTGACTTGTCTAACTACCATCCCATTAGTCTTTTTCCTATCATAAGCAAGATTTTTTGAATCTTTAATTAACAAACACTTAATCTCTCATCTTGAATCTAAAACTTACTTTCTGATCATCAATATCGATTTTGATCTTCTTGTTCTACAGCTTATTTGCTAACAGTAATAACCAATTGGTTTTATCGTGGATTAGTTAGAAGTGGAGAGGTTAAGGCTATTGCTCTTGCATAAAATTTGTATAGTATAAAAATTGTCCTCGATGGGCAACACTCTTCTTCATATCCTGTAACTTCAGGGGTTCCTCAAAGTTCAATCTTAGCCCTATACTCTTTTTTTATTACATTAACGAACTTCCAGATATTCTTGCATCTAAGGTGGCATTGTTTGCTGATGATGTTATCATTTATTCTTGTCATGATAAGAAGCCAACACTCTCTGATTGTTTGAGGGGGCATTTGAGCTTGAAAAGGATCTCACTTCTGCTACAGTATGGGGCTCTTAGTGGCTGGTGAACTTTAATTCAGATAAAATCCGATTTTTTAAGTTGTCTGTCAATCATTATCTTGCTCTAACAACTTCATCTTTTCTTTTCCAGTAACTTTAACTCTAATAGTGGTTGCTTGCAGCCTTGTTGGAAGCAAAGATATTAGGGGGGAAAAAAATTAAGAAACCTGAAGCAGCAAATCATAGATTGTGTGGTATGGCATCATTCACTTCTCATAGTATTTATATAGTTATTATTATTATTTTTTATATTGTTAATGTTCATATTATTATGTTGTTGTTATTTGTTATTATTTTGTTATTATTTTGTTATTTTTATTATTAAAGTTGTTAACATAAATTAACAACTTTATAAATATTAATTAAGTGTGGAATGGTTGGTTCTTGATGAAGGTGATAAACTTTTTGAAGATGGAGAAGCTGGATTTAGAGGACAGGTAAATTTTCTGAAATCTTTTACATTATTGTTTGAAATTCTTGAAATAATTTCAAACAATAATGTAGTCTAACTACATTATTGTTTGAAATTATTTAAAATCACTTTTTTATAATTCATTATAATGTACATTGTAATAAAACTAAACCCTTGCAAGAAGTCACATGTTCATTTTTCATAATACAAGGTTTGACACTAAATCTAATTTTTTTTTCCTCCAAATTTGTCTATAAAATCAAAAGTTTGTTTATAAAATCAAAAGTTTGTCTATAAAATCAAAAGTTTGTCTATAAAATCAAAAGTTTGTCTATAAAATCAAAAGTTTGTCTATAAAATCAAAAGTTTGTCTATAAAATCAAAAGTTTGTCTATAAAATCAAAAGTTTGTTTATAAAATCAAAAGTTTGTCTATAAAATCAAAAGTTTGTCTATAAAATCAAATGTTTGTCTATAAAATTAAAAGTTTGTCTATAAAATTAAAAGTCTCTTAGGTTAAGGTTAAGATTAGTTACTAAGACTCATGCTAAGTTGTGTTGTTGTGTTGTGTTGTGTTGTTGTTATTTAAAACTTTTATTCAGTTACTGGTTTTTCCCTTATTTCGTTATGCAATATGAAAGTCACGTATTTGTAAAAAAAATACTTAATTTTTATATTATCTTGATATTATATATATTATTGTATAATATTTTTATTTGAGCTTCTGAGTTTTTTAATTTTGTAATAAAAAATTAAAATTAATAATGATTTTATTTAACACATAAATGTTAAAAAAAAGTTTTTAATTGCGTCTTTGATGTTAAATACTTAGGATAAAATTACGTTAAAAAGAAAAATTTAAAAAAAAAATAACAATAATAAATAGAATTAATTATACAATGTACAAGGCATTAATTTTACCAAGTAAATGGCTTTTTTAATGAATATAAATACGTTAACTTAACAAACTTTATTTCTGTCCTAAATTGTCATATTTTGTTTGTTTTGCTTTTTAAATAACTAGTTTTAAAAACTTTTTTTTTTTTTTTTTCTTCTGAGAATTATTAAATTTTTATAAAAATATATGAAAAATGGTAAAATAAAAGTATATTATTATATTATAATACAAGGGTTGAAATATTTGCTGAACATCAGCGCTCCTGGATAATTTCTTAGGCCTGACTCAGGGGTCAACCATTGTTCATTTTTACTGACAAAATGTTCATTTTGTCAGTAAGATTATTTGTTTGCCTCTTTCAGACAAGAGAACAATGATCTGAGAGGGGCAAACCAACAATTATTCATTTTGTCTGACAAAATGTACTATGGTTGGTTGTCCCTCTCTAATAAATGATCTAATGGGTGGCAATGTCTGGCACCTATTAGAGTATGTTATATATATTTGTTAAATTAATCAATGTATAATTATATCAAACAAATAATTGGATCAATGTATAAAAGTTGACTTTTTATGTAAGTTAAAATTTCTATTGATTATTTATTTTTTTTGTTTAAAACATAAGGTTTAAAGTCAAAAAACATTTCAATTGGTTAAATCTTATATTGGTTGAAAGTTGTTGATGGTCTACAAAATGTGAAACATAGAAAGCCTTTATTTTTTATTTATGTGGAGACTATGATTAAAACATAATATATTTGAAAAATATGTTATGTTTTAATCACATTAAATCAAGCACCCTCTCTCAGCCTCTTTAACTGTAATGGCTTCCTCAGTCTTGCCAGGTGAATACAGTTACAAAAAAAAATTCATGTTTTTTAATTAATTTTTTAATAAATTTCCTTCTAAATAAACTATAAATAGTTATTAATAAATTAATTTGAATTGCTATGTTAATTTAAAAACTTAATATATAAAAATATATAAAAAGTATTTTACAATAAAAAAATAACCTCATATTCTTTGATTATATTTTTTATTTCATTCATATTTTCCTAATAATATTTTAAATCTTTTTTATTATTCAAATGGAAATAGGTTGCTTTAATATACCAAGCTTGCAGCAATCCATCTATTAAACGCCTATTGTTTAGTGCAACACTTGCAAACAGTGTGGAAGACTGGTGTAAAGATCACCTAGACAATGTAGTTAGAATTACAGTTGGTAACAGGTTCCAAAATTATCTAATTTTGTTTAATTTTTTTAGTTTTTTTATTAAAAATAAAGACTTTAAGTTTCATTCAAAGTTAGGTTACAATAGAAGTTTCTCTAAGTTGCTTTTAGTGCAATAAAAATCCATAATAATCATTCTTTTTAGAAACGCAGCCACTGATACTATAGATCAAGAGCTTATTTTTGTTGGTCAAGAATCTGGTAAACTTCTAGCAATACGTCAAATTTTACATAAAGGTTTTCAGCCACCTATACTTGTATTTGTGCAAAGTAAAGATCGAGCAAAAGAATTGTTTAATGAACTGGTTTATGATGGTCTTAATGTAGATGTAATTCATTCTGACCGAACTCAAGCACAGGTTTGTTTTGCGCTTTATTAGTTTTGCTATAATATATCATATTTTGTTGTTTGTGAGACATGTTAGAAACTTTTATATAGTTTTATATACTTTTTGTATAAATTTGTATGATAAATTGTAATTAGAATAAATAAATAAAAAATAAAATAAATATAAGTATTGTATATAATAAATATTAGATTTTAGAAAGATTGGTTATATGATTAAATGTAGTAATTAAAAGACAAATTAAAGTAACAGTTCAATATATAAAATTGAATCTAAGAATAGGTGTTGCAGTTAGCATAGAAAATATGTTTTCAATAATTAACAACTGGTTGGATTAAACAAATTTAAATATTCATTTTAATTTTTATAATTTAGTTTTATTTAAATAATTAGTTATTTTTTTTTAAAAAATAATCATTAATTCCTTTAAAAAATAGCATATATATATATATATATATATATATATATATATATATATATATATATATATATATATATATATATATATATATATATACACTACCGACAAAAAGTTTGAGGCAGGTTTTTTAAAATTGCTAAATAAATAAACTTTTTCTAATATGATTTGTACTTTAATGATAATGAATACAAAAACTAATAAACATTAAACATTTTTTTATTATAAATTCTTAATTATAATTGTTATTTTAATTAAATTTTTGATTCGTCAAAATATCCTCCTTTATTCTTTATTACAGCGGCACAAATCTTTATCAGCTATCCCTTGTTGATTAAAATATTATAAACAGTTCTAATCTACTAGTGATATATTAGAATCATAAATTAAAACATAAATACACTCATTGAAGTCGAAAAAATAAACAATTTAAGGGTATTTACATCTCGAAATCATAAATTTTTACCCTGCCTCAAACTTTTTGTCGGTAGTGTATATATATATATATATATATATATATATATATATATATATATATATATATATATATATATATATATATATATATATATATATATATATATATATATATATATATGTATATATATAAATTGGTATTTATATAAATTTAGAGAGAAAACATAGTAAAATGCTTTAGGACGGGAAAGGTATTTTTAATAATTTTTTTTTTTATTATAATTATTGTATATATGTATGTGTGTGTATATATATATATATATATATATATATATATATATATATATATGTATATATATATATATATATATATATATATATATATATATATATGTATGTATATGTATATACTATATGAGTAATATTTTATTGTTAGATTTGGATTTTAATAGCAACAGATCTAATGGGTAGAGGAATAGATTTCAAAGGAGTAAATATGGTCATCAATTATGACTTTCCATCAACAACAGTTAGCTATATTCATAGAATTGGTGAGTTTGTATTCAGTATATATTTTTAAGTTTGAAATTTGATTATAAGTCAAAACAGTATAAATGTTTTCCATATTAGGACGTACAGGTCGAGCTGGTCGAAGGGGAAAAGCAATCACACTTTTTACTGAAGATGATGTGGTAAATCTTCGTAGGTAAACTTGAAAAATTTATAATTTTTTTTTTTTAGATTTTATCAGCAAATCTTTTTAAAGTACTACTTTAATTAATAAAAAAAAAACAATACTACTAAATTATTTCAGTTTATACTTTGAAAATATTTGTAGTCTTTGAAGTAACTTTTTATCTGTTGAATCTTAATGATTTTTTCAAGATAAGAATCTTGAAAAATCATTAGACTCACTCGCCCTTTGCAAAATTAATTTAAATTTAGTTGTTTTGTTTTGGATATTAGAGTTGATGGCTATTATCTTTTGGTTTGGACTCTTAAGCATGTTACTAAGACTCAGTAACATGCTTTATGCATAATAAGGTTTTTTATTTATAATTTTTTTCATAATAAGGTTTTCTATTTCTAATTGGTTCAATTAATTGGTTTTTTTTCACTGTTTTCCTTGATCTGGGTTTAGATCTGGGTATTAGATCTGTGATAAGTGACTTAGAACTATGATCTAATTAAAACTTTAATCTCATAATTTTCTACTTTAGAACTTTACTCTAGATTGCCATTGCACTTCTCACTAATATCTTTAAATGGGGTTCTTCACGTTGAATTTTCTTCATGATAGTCCTACCTTCATGTTGGTCTCTCTTTCATGTTGGATTTTCTTCATGATAGTCCTTGGGCTGATGTCTTTTGTATCTAAAAATTGTGTCTCCTAGTTGATCTCCTGAATTGAAGATTAAAGTTTTTTAATCATAATAATTTTGTATTTTCCCAAAAACAACTAAAAATAACTCTCTGTAGAGCCAATTTTTTTTTATTATTGCAAGTTATTGAAAAAAAGAAAGTTGAAAAAAAAGTTAAAAGAAACTTACATTTTAAATCTCTTTATTTTTAAAAATTATTACAATGGTCTGGACAAATTGCAACAAAGTCACAAAAAAGTCATAAAAATAGTTAATACTTGCTGCAATTTATTCTTTTAATGTCTATCTTAGTTGGTATTAAATAACTGCCAATTTTTTAAGTCTATTGGAATATGTAAATTATATGAAACCTACAATAAGATATAATTGAAGTAATATGAATATTACTGAAAATCATTTGGCAATAATAACTTATACTCATGCTAAAAATCATCATGATAATTTGGCTTCTTATCACCAACAAGTAATGATGCAATAAATGGTGTTTCTTTGTCAAACAAACATAGTTTTGGTCAGTGTGTTTGATGACATGACAAAATGAAGATTTTAAAAAAATCTCTAGAGTCTATATTCTGAGAGATTTAGTTATTCTGAAATATGAGATTTAGTTATTCTGAAATATAAGATTTAGTTATTCTGAGATATGAGATTTAGTTATTCTGAAATATGAGATTTAGTTATTCTGAAATATGAGATTTAGTTATTCTGAAATATAAGATTTAGTTATTCTGAGATATGAGATTTAGTTATTCTGAAATATGAGATTTAGTTATTCTGAAATATGAGATTTAGTTATTCTGAGATATGAGATTTAGTTATTCTGAAATATGAGATTTAGTTATTCTGAAATATGAGATTTAGTTATTCTGAGATATAAGATTTAGTTATTCTGAGATATGAGATTTAGTTATTCTAAAATATGAGATTTAGTTATTCTGAAATATGAGATTTAGTTATTCTGAAATATGAGATTTAGTTATTCTGAAATATGAGATTTAGTTATTCTGAAATATGAGATTTAGTTATTCTGAGATATGAGATTTAGTTATTCTGAGATATGAGATTTAGTTATTCTGAAGTATGAGATTTAGTTATTCTGAGATATATGAGATTTAGTTATTCTGAAGTATGAGATTTAGTTATTCTGAAATATGAGATTTAGTTGAAGTAATGGAGCTTAGCATCAGACAGCATTTTTTTACAATGATTTTTTGCAATAACAAAAAGATATTTGTTCTCAAAAGAGTTGTCCTTTTGAAAAGATTCAAAAAATTAGAAATTTAAAAGTTTAGAAATAACAGCTTTACAAGAAGGTATAATTTTTTTTTGAAATCAAAAAGAAGGAATAAAAACTTCCATACCTGCTTTGATCCAGGAGGTTATGTAAGAGGCTCATCAGCAGAGGAAGAAATACATCAGCACAAGGACCATCAACATCAAGTGATTAGGGTTGTTAGGAAAACAAATCACAGAGTTAACTAACTGCGTAGGAAATCGAGAAATACAAAATTTATGAGTTTTAGTACTTGCAGAGTCAGTATTGTTAGAGCCAAGTCATTCACAATTCATCACAAGCCAGTGTGATGAGCATTAAGTTACCAATAACAACAATATTGGTAGAGGAATAAAGAGAATGGGTTCGGTCAATTTGTTCAGAACTTACATCTAGAAGAATGCAATTTTGAAGAGTTAAAGAATGATAAAGCAGGGGCAGATCCAGCGTTTTTTTTTATGCGTTTAGCGCATAAAAGTTTTATTAGAAAATAAAGTTTTATGACAAAATAAACAAAAAATAGTTGAAAATATAAATAAATACAAACAAGTTTTAGTTAACTAAAATCACTTTGCTTCAAAAAATTTTTTTTTCATTTGTACTTTTTTCAATCAAGTCAATATTAACAAGTGAGGTTGGATTAAAAATTGGGATTGGATTATTTTAGTTTTAACAAGTGAGATTGGATTATAAAGTTTTACTGAAAACAGCTAAACTACTTTGTACTTTATTTATTTTGATTTTTGTTAATGTAAAAATTTTGTAGTTACCAAGATAATCTGCTGTTCTCTATAATCATGTAATTAGATTCATTATCTTAAAATTTAAACTTTAAAATTTTATTTTATTTTTAATGGGATATTATGAGTATTGCTCAATTGACCAAATAAAATTTTTTTTTTGACCACATAAAAAGTTGCTCATTATGTTTTTTGTTTTTTTTCATTCCACTTATAACCCTTAAGTTGTAATTTTTAACAGTATTGCATTTGTAGCATAGCTAACGTGGTTCGATCCTCAGGTGGCGAAGTTCCTGATTGGATGCTTAAGCTTAAAAAATTAGATAGGTAGGTTTTTGATTATTTACATGTTTATTTTTATTCAAGTTAAATTTTTTATTTCATTTTTAATTTATTAATTTTAAAATCAGTTATTAAAATTATAAAAACATGTTTTATATTCATAAAAAGTACTTGTGCATGTGTAATAAATATTTATATATTTAATTAATATTAAATATATTTAACAATGTATGTATATATTGTACTACTATATAAGAAGAAATAAAGAAAAATACTTGAATAAAAAATGTATATAAATAATAAAGGAAATTAGATCAAATAAAATATGTAGATTTAAAATATTCAGGAAAACATAAAATCTTTAATAGACAAAGTATTTTATAAATGTTCTTTATAAAAGTTTTCTTTAGATGCATAGATGAAAACAAAAAATGCAGCAAAAATTTTTAGTATAGCTAAAATGCAGTTTCTCAAAAAACAAATTTTAAAAGCATTAAACAGCTAACTGCTTAACATGCAGATAGATACAAACCTTTGTTAGTTTTATTAGCTTCTTTTGAACTAAGTTAAAAACTTAAGTTTTTGTTTCATTTAATTTTGTTTTTGAAAAAATGTTACAAATGGGTAAGAATTTTATAATTAACTACTCCCTCTCTCTCCCCATCCCTTACCCTCCCCTATCTCTGCACCACTATCTTTTGGTAATAAAAAGTGTTACATGTTCCATAAAAATGGATCAAAAACAAAGTAGATAAAAATCACAATATAGAATTTAAAATATGCAGGTTTTTGATAACAAATGTTTTATAGAAATAAATTTAGTTCTTGTGTATTTAGTTTAGTATAAATGATTATTTTAGTCGCACAAAGAAAACACTTAGAAAAGTTCCGTTGGAACGACCACATATCAATACAGTTTCAAAGTATGATGCAGAGAAACGAAATAAGAAAAAGTATGAAAATATTTTTAAAAATGATTTTATTCTAATTAAAAAATGCTAACACCCAAGCAACAGCCATAATAAACTATTTCTAATTATTTTCAGGCAAATGATTGAACAGTCTAAAGCAAAGAAAAAAGAAAAAGAAAACAGTTGATATTTTATAAATCTTTTTTAAAAAAGATTTTTTAAATAACTATTTGAAGAATAAAAAAAAAGTTTTTTTTTTCTTGTTATTTTTTTTTTTTTTTTGTAATAATCATTTCAATGTAATATATTATTCTACTGCATTGTAAATTACAACATAATTATTGTGAATCAGAGATGGGTAATTGGAATAAAGTTCTGTGGGTAATTTATTTTTCACCTGGGGCATCAGTACAATATTTTTTAAAATTTTAAATTTTGTATACCGTATTAATTTTATATACCATATTAATTTTGTATACCATTTAATTTTATATACCGTATTAGTTTTGAGTTTCATAATTAGGTGTCTATTTCAAAATTAAAAGTTTGCAGACTATATTAATACCATACAAAGCCACAGTAGTATTCATATTTTGTAGTACACTTTATGCAAGAGCACCCATTATCTGAGAAAATTGTTTTGTCATATCCATAGACATTTAGTTATCTAGGTTTATAAAACCTAGCCCCAGGTTCCAGTTAAATACCTTAATTGGTTATTATTGTATAATTATTATTGTATACTTGTGTAATTTTATTTTTAAGACCAAAAGAAAAATATATGTAAATAATGTCATCCAAGGTCAATGTTTTAGTAAGTCTTTTTTTTTAATGTTAGTAATTATTTTTATATGTTCATTGATGTGAGTTTAGGAACTTGAAAATTGAAAGAGAAAAATTAAAATTAAATTAATTAAAGGTTAAAGATTTTTGTATTTTTTATTCTTACTTTAACAACTTTTTTTTATATTTTTTTTACATTTGACTTGTTTTAGAGACTTGAGTTTAACTGGTTACTAACAGATGAAGTTTCTTCAATACTTGCCCAGTTGAAAGAAATAATTCAAGTAAGTTTCACTAATGGAAAAAATTAATAATAAATAATTACAACATTAAAGTAATAGCCAATCAAAATAGACATTTCAATTTACAGTACAACATGCGAATGCATAGAACTGAAAGTTGGTACAGATGTTAGAGACATCATTACAAATAAGATATTAGTATAAGTGTTGACTAGCAGAAGGTGACAGGAAGACAAGATAATTGCATTCTTATCATTCTGTGTATTTTTCAAAAAACTACAATATCTATATTTGTCAAAATAATCAATTTTTTAGGATCATCGTATAGAGTTAATTTTATTAATACCAACTCCGCTGCCAGTAAGTATGTTTTCTATAATTATGTGAAAAGGATCATGCGATAAAAACAACTCATGAAGCTTTTCAGTGTCTTTAGAATCTTTCTTTATTTGTGAATCACTTGCATCTTCATGCTGTTCTGTTGAATTCATTCTAATATCAGATCTTTTAATCATATCACATACAGTATTCATTGCAGTTTTTAAGATTTGAAATCATTTTTTGTTGTTTCGAATTCTTCTCATACTAAGCTTGGTATAAAGAAAAGGGGGTTCAGAGTTTTTAACAAGGGAAAGGGATAGGGTTATAAAGCTTCATGAACAGCCCCTTAGTTGCAAAATCATATCTTAGTTTACTTGTTTGTAAACAGGGTTTGTTGTCATGCTAGAAAGTTTTATGCTTCCCTCGATTAGCTCCTTTTGTTACAAGTATTTATTGTTTACACTATAAAAAAATAACCATTATATTTTTAAAAACCATAATGCTAAGTTTTGTGTTTTATAATGGGTAATTACTGTTATGTTCAATGTATAATTCGTATGAAAAAAAAACATAAACGGCATACCGTTATGTTTTTTTCATACGAATTACATTATAAATTTACCTGTTATAGAACACAAAATCTGGTGTTATGTAAGCGTTATGTTTGAAAACCTGATATAATGGTAATTACCCGTTATACTAACTTTAATAACTTAAAAGTTAATAAAATTAAAATAATTTATTTTATATGTATAAATAAATATATATATATATATATATATATATATATATATATATATATATATATATATATATATATATATATATATATATATATATATATATATATATATATATATATATATATATATAATAAATACACTGTATATATATATATATATATATATATATATATATATATATATATATATATATATAATAAATACACTGTATATATATATATATATATATATATATATATATATATATATATATATATAATAAATACACTGTATATATAATATATATATATATAATAAATACACTGTATATATATATATATATATATATATATATATATATATATATATATATATATATATATATATATATATATATATATATACACACACACACACACACAGTGGTGTACACTAGGATGATGCTATTATAACTTTTTAAATACTATGTAAAACCTCTTACCTTTTCTAAAACATGAATAATTGTGTCCAAAACATAATTTAATAAAAATTAGTTGTATTTATAAAAATGTTACTAGGTCAAAAAAAAAAGTTACTTTATAGAAATAAGAAAAAATCCTATTTTTATTTTATCTTTTTTTGTTGCTTTACAAACTGTAAATATAATAAAATAAAGTTTAAAAAATTAGACTATTGTTAATTAGACATTTCAGTTAAGAAAAGTTTCTCAAGAGCATCATCAGGCTTAGCCAGGTAAGCTCGGATGACCATAATCATTCGTTCTATGCACATTTTTTTATGTGACTTCAACACCAAGAATATGTCTGGTCAGAGCTTCTTGGGCTGTAATGCAGGCTGATGTGGCCTCTTTCAGGTTCACCCAATTGTGTTCTTCCCTTATTTTAAACCATGCATGTGACCAAGAACAGTTAATAAACTTATTTTATAATAAGCTATTTCTTTCAATTATTACCTTTCTTCAGGGATTAGAAAGTAGCTCAGTAAGATATAAATTGCTTTACTCTTCCATCTTGCTGAGTGAGAATATGGTAATTTAGTTGGTAGCTCCAGTTTGGGTAGAATATTCAATGCATAAAGAAAAAAATACATATACAATATGGATGAGGTGTTTTATGCAGGAAATTATATGGTTCTTTTAATTGTGGGTATTCTTTTAGTTTCTTTATAAACTTAAAATCAGTTAGAACAGGTGATTTTGTTGGTATTGGTAAATGATAATGGGGTATTTTATTGACAACATTATACTCTAACAACGTTTCCTTTATCATAGCTGCTAGATTTTTAAAATTTCCACTAATATATAGTGTTTTAAGGCTAATGTACTAAAAAATTGGTCCTTCTGACTGAATGGCAATGACCATACGTTCCACTTTCTTAATGCCGTAATTATATGGTGCCACAGCTTTCCCATCAAAATGTAAAATAAAGGATGTCACATTTGACAAAGCTGCATTAAGTTCAAAAAGAGTTATGACTTGCAACCTTTTACCAGCTCTAAAAATAGCAGATTGATGTGGAGTGGGAATATCATCATGAAAATAACTTAATGAGCGAGTTACTCTGCTCCTTTGTGGGCAGAGATTCGAGCTTCTGCGCACATCACAGCAACTGACATTGCCTTTAATTAAAAACAAAGTAAATAAATTTACAAAAAAAGTAATAGTTTTTATTTTAAGAAGTATTATTACTTACTTTTAATTTAAGTTTCCTTTTTGTTGGATTGAATGAAGGCTCAAAGCAATCTTTATTTTGTCATCTTTATTTTGAGTGCTTGAGTCATCTTTATTTTGAGTGCTTGATTCTGTTTATAATTGCTGTAGATAATCAAGGTCTAGGGTTTTAGTATCAATTGCCTATTAGTAGGACACTATAATTTTTTGACTGGTGGATATGCAGCTTTTTCTATCAGCCATTTGATGATAACAAAATATTTGTTCTTTGCTCTTCATTTTTTTTTTTTTTTGTTAAGAATATTAAACGGCATAAGAAAATCCATCGTTGATTTCCTCTTCAAACATTTTTTATATTCAACCTCAAGTTTATTTAGTTTTTTTGTGATGCCAGCTCTGGTTACTGATGGTAAGCTAAATTTCATTTTCCAGAGCTGCTCCAAATCCTTTACTATTATTTGTATAACAACTTTTGATGGTACAGAGTGTGTGTCAACTAAATGGTGATAGTAGCCAAGAATGTGCCAAACTTCTGGAATAGTCTTGAAATTAGCCAAGCTTTTTGTTCATTATCCATATGGATAATGAACAGAAACTCCCTTGATTCTTTTGAACATGGTGGTCTATACCAGAAGCTATATATAAAAGTTGGTACCAGCTGGTACCAGAAGCTATATATAGTTGCCCGGCTGGGTGACTATTTAAATTGGTTAATTTTTTAACTTATTACTTTTTTAAATTCAAGTTACTCATTATTTAAATTGATTTTTTTGCCGCAGTTTGCATTTCTACATTTAGCAACGTTTTTTGCCGCTAAAGGTAAATTTGTTCTTTTTCAAAAGACTACTTTTTATCAACGAAATAGCTTTTGTAATGACTTCTTAATCTAATGTAATAATAAAACAACATTTTTAAAGTCTAATTGTTGAAGTTTATTTTTCTTCTTTTCTATTAACTTACGACATTCTGTTTAAATTAGAATGCCGGTTTTTGCTTTTTATAAAGAATGAATGAAAGTTTTGAAGTCTTAACTGCTATTAATTCGCAAACATTTTTACTAAACTATAAATTATAAAAATTTCTTATGTTAAAAGTTTATTTATCAAATGCTTTTAATAGCGTACTGTTTTACTAATTAGAATTCTGGGATTGGTATTTAGACAAACAAATTATTTTAATAAGCATAGCTGCTCTATGAAGTGTAATGTATTTATTGTAAGTCTTATGACTGTGATAAGTTTATATTAACATTGGAAAAAAATTTGAGCAAGGTTTTTTTGTTGGCATTTTTAAAAAATGTTTTTTTTTTATTTAATGTCATCGAGATAAAATAATGTATTGAGTGTCATGGACAAAAAATGGTGGAAAAAGATGTTGATTTAAGTAAAACTAACTGCAACAAAGGACAAAAAAGTTTGATACCTTTTGCATTAAAAATATTCAAGACAATATTATTTTAATTTCAAATACTATAAATAGAATTGATTCTTCTGTGGATTCTTATTATTTAAGTACACATGTCTACTTTTTAATAAAAAATGATATGCCATTAGACATAACTGGCACAAGAAGCATTATTAGTAGTCAAAACAGCTACATGCAGCTAAAACAACTGTAAAAACACCAAGATGCAATTGGATTGCATAATGTCTTGGTAGTGCACACATAACATTTTTACTTTTTATGTTTTGTTAATTGATTACGTAGTTATAAATTGTTTAAATTGCACAACCTCTTATTTGGTGAGGTCTGTTATAAAAAGTATATAGTTAAAATTTTTTTGCAAACTGAAAATGGGAAGTGGTCCCCCAAACCCTATTTCGGAACCCTAAATTGACCAAAATTTGTATAAAAACTTAATCTTGTAATTCTATTTTTATTTGATAGAAAATACTGCTATAAATTGATCTAAAAACAAATAATATAAAGTATTATAATGTTACGACATAGAAGTTCACAGAAGACTGGAAAGTACAAGCAAATTTAGATTAACCCCCCTCAGCATTATTTACCCAAAATCGCTCCTAAATGCCTATTTTGATTACAAAAACATTTTATTTTCTATAATTTCAAGTAAACTTTTTCTAAGTAAACTTTAGCTCAGAAATTAAATTTGTATAAATTTATTAATAGTAATGACATGGTTGGCCATTGTTGGGTAGGAAAGGATTAGGAATGAATGGGGGGTGGGTGTATTATCTAAGACTTTTAATTTTTTTATTATGCTTTGAGCACTTTGTAATTGTTAAACTTCTGTTATATTCTTTCTATTATAGTAAAAAAGTATAAAAATATTACATAAGAAGATGGCTGTTTCAAACAAAGCAAC